GTCATAGCTGTGCGGTGTGGGGAGTCGCGCGGTGTGGCGAGGGCCGTTTGACGCCGCTTGCGCTTTAATTATTATTATTGTTGTCAGTCAAGCTGCATATCAAGACATTTTGCTGGGAGAGGTATGGAAACCTGAGTCTCTCCTCTTCCTACTTTATCTGTCATCATTCACACTTATTGTTTTTCACCCGCTGTCCTATTGTCTGTTTCATGGCGTGATGATGAGACCCCTGAACCAAAATTTAAAAAAAATACTGCACAGACTAAGATAATTCAGATGTTTTGTATGGTATGATTTACATATTTTACTGTGGGGGGAATTCAATAAACATTAGCTCAAACAAGAGATGCATCGAACCAGCATTTAGCAGCAGTGCTAATTTACACCTGTAGTCTCTGGGCAGGTTGTTATAAAACAGTAAAATAAAGTAGATGGATACATGAGCATACAGTACATGCATGTGTGTGTGTGTGTGCGTGCAAACACACACACACACACACACACACGAACAGTTTTCCTCTTTCCAAGAGCCATTTTTCTTCAGAGGTCCAAATACTTTTAGCCCAGTGCATGTGATGGCCTCAGGAGCAATTCTCTACTTTCCATCCATCCATTTTCTTCCGCTTTATCTGTTGCCGGGTCGTGGGGGCAGCAGTCTAAACAGAGACGCCCAGACTTCCCTATCCACACACACCTCCTCCAGCTCATCTGGGGGAATCCCAAGGCGTCCCAAGACCAGAGAGAGACACAGTTCATCGTGTCCTGGGTCTTCCCCGGAGTCTGCACGCTCTACTTTCCATAAATAAAAATGTATCGTATCCATGACAACAGATGTATCACAACAAAGTAAAATACCACAGACCAAACGTAGGTGTTCGGACGAGATCTTAAGAAAACTACTTGAATTTAACGTTTTATAATGTTTTTTTTTTCTACTCGCTTCATGTGTACGAGGTCTGCTCCTGTGATTTAGAATTTAGTCTGACGTGAGCAAAAAGTAAGACGACTGCGATATCTGTAGATTTAGATCTCGTTCTAACAGGATGTGGTGTAGTTTGAGGCCATGTGGTTAGGTGAACGATATGACAGGAAATTCACAAAGATAATGTAAAGATATACTTTTAGATGGTTTCCTAGACTAACACCTCTCTAGTCTCTAGCTACTTGAAGCTTGGAACTGAAATCTACCTGTTTGGGGAATCTCACTTTTAGGCACTTTTACCATAAAAACTGCATCTCAGCCAAGTGGTAAAGGCCTATCATTAGAAAAGTAGAAAAGTAGAAAATTTTTTTACAATAAATTTGCGTTATTAGAACTCCTAGATAGGTACAAAATTGCTCAAATATGGCTGAATGTGTCTTAATTTGAGAAATTTTGGACTGTGGACTGAACCTTAAAACCATATTCTCCAATGGGACAAAGCAAAATGATCTTGTTTTAAAAAGATACAAGAAATATCTCCCTTGGAATGAGAAAATAAAGTTCTAAATTTTCTCATAAGACAAAATGGCTTGTTTTAAGACAGTCAGAATGTGTTCAAAATAAGATAAACACAACTCTATTCAAACAATTATGACATTTTTTTGCAGTGCACATCTAAAAATAAGAAAAATGACAATGCTTTCTTCATGGAAAGACCATTAAAAGGTTAAAATACTTTGTCCATGAGATTTTTGGATTTTAAGTATTGACACGCAAGGATTTGACCACAGACTTAAGGATATTTCTTAATTTCATAAGAAAACATGAAGAAGCAGCGAACTATTACTTTCGCGCTCCTTATAGGCAAAGGGGGGTAAAGTGTCTTGCCCAAGGACACACAACAACAGCAGACACTGGGAGTAGGTGGAGAAGGTCTTGTGGTGGGCTCGAACCCATCAACTGAGCCACTGTCGCCCCCATATTTACAAATACAAAATACAATGTGAATGGATAGTACTGGGAAAAACAATTCCCAGTTTTTTCCCATGTTCCCGTCTCCGCAGACTTGGATTTGACTCTTTCCGTGACACTATGTCCCAAACTGCACCATCTCAGTTTGCATTTACTGCTGGTTACGCTACGTCTGAATAATTGATACAGATTCTATTTGAGATCCAGACTCAGACAAATGGTGCTGGGCCAAAGTAGACAATATCCCTCCTCTGCCTTAAAGGAGCTATACCCGTTTCTGCAGGATTTTTACAGTATGAATGTTTAGCCCCGCCTCCAACTCACTCACAGGTTTCCCATTTCCCCTATGCTCTCATCCCACGGAGCCATCTAGTTTTATTTGCGATCTGATACGTATGCTAACATTAGCATTAGCACAACTTAAGCTGTACAACAATCACTGATGAAATGGTACAAAAGCAACGCACTGCTAACATAACATATAACTGAAAGATAACAGACAGTCCGAGGCGGTCTCCCATAGACAAGTCTCTCCAGAGGATACGATGTAAGCTAGCTATGTTCACCCGGGCTTGACTTCTTCTTTGATCATTTTTTGGCTTTAGTTCCCTCTTCTCTTCCTCACTGTTGTGTCGTTGGGACTATTTAGCTGTGTCTGCAGTTACAGCCAGAGGAGATATAGCCAATTCTGCTAACATGCTATACTGTGTTTACCAGGGCTGCAGACGCTAGAGGAGGCGTGGCCTAGAGGAGGTGTGGCCTAGAAGGGGCGTGGCCTGTTTGTATTAGCACCGCCCCTTCGTTGTGTAAGTGGAGGAGAACCAGCGCCACGCAAAGTTTCTACTCAGCAATTTGCCTGAATTCATACACAGCTGAATCAATGAGCTCAAGATTTAATAAGACTTTTTTGTAGAAATACGTATATTTATCAACATTAAAAAAACAATTCAGGTATAGTTTCTTTAATAAGAGACCAATCCACAGACCACAGCCTCTGCACCAGTCATCTGCTCTCATCTATTTCCTCCTCTCTTTTACTTGTTCTGAGCGGCCAACACTATTTGGAGACCAGAAGTAATCTCGGACACCGGGCAGAGCGAGTATTAAAGCGGTGAAAGGGGCTGGAGCAAGATGGATGATCAGGCAGTGAACTAATAGTCAAGTTGGAACGAGATTTATCATTGTTTTTAGTTACACCTGCAGTGGACCCAGTGGTTAGAGATTCAGTTGGAAAAAGAAGAAGAAGAAGACTGAGAGAGAGAAACGATTAACATTGAGGAGAAAGACCCACCGAGAGAGACCAGAGAGAGATTAGAGAGAGACCAGAGAGAGACCGACCAGAAAGAGACAGGAGAGAGAATAGAGAGAGAGACCAGAGAGAGAGACCAGAGAGAGACCAGAGAGAGACTAGAGAGAGAGCAGAGAGAGACCAGAGAGAGACCGACCAGAAAGAGACAGGAGAGAGAATAGAGAGAGAGACCAGAGAGAGAGACCAGAGAGAGACCAGAGAGAGACTAGAGAGAGACCAGAGAGGCCAGAGACAGAGACCAGAGAGAGACTAGAGAGAGACCAGCGAAAGACCAGAGAGAGACCTGTGGATGGCATGATGGCTGAGTGGTTAGTGTTTTTGAATGGTTGGTGGAACAGACTGGTTGTCATTGTGCCACAGGCCCACTAAACATCCGACGTCCACTCAACCTCCAGATCACGTCAAAATCGCGTCGGTCGGTCGTGACCTTTTATTTACGTCCAAACGACGTCTGTGCAAGGTGCGCATCTGGACGTAAAACAATGACCTCCCATATACGTGGATATGACGTTCAATCCCGACCTCCCTTAGACGTCGAAAACAGGTCATCGGCTGACCGACGCAGTACGTCTTGATCTAGCAATACAATATATAGGCTGTGAAGCAATGCAAGTGTACCTGACGGTAGTGTAGTGGTTAAGCAAATGTGTGCAGCCTTGGTTACGTGAGTTCGAGCCCACGTGTGTGTATTATTATCTTTACATATTTGTTTTGATTTTTAACGAACAATTTTTTTCTGTTTGGTTAAAGACTAATAAACACTCAACATAGGATTACGTAGTGGCTAATAATAAAACTTGTGAATGTATGCATTTGTTGTGCTAACAATCTCAAGTTTGCAAATAAGGGGTGAGCACTTGAGATTGTATGCAAATGCATGGGTTCACAAGTTTTATTATTAGCCACTACATAATCTTATGTTGAGTGTTTATTCGTTTTTAACCAAACAGAAAAATTGTTCGCTAAAAACTAAAAAGTCAAAAGTTTTCCGACGGGGATTTGAACCTGCGTCGTTGGGACTGAAGTCTCATTACGCAACCGCTACACCACGGCCAGGCATTTATCCAGACTACTGTGACAAAATAATACATAACACCCTAAACAACCGACGCACACTTATGCGCTTTACAGCCTGACACGTGAGTCGCTCGGTCGAGGACCTGTTTTCCACGTCTAAACGACGTAAGGTGTGAATCTGGACGTAAAGCAATGCCTTCCCAGACGTTGATATGACGTTGAATCTGTACCTCTGTCGCTGCCCTGCTTTATTTAGCTACTTGGAATCACCCTCTCTAGTAAGTACACAGTCTGCACAGTTTTTAGATATAGATGTATCATTTCCACATTGAAAAGAGTTGGAGACAGAAAGTAAGTTGTTTTCTCACGTATACGTGGATTTTGTTAAGTATATTTTGTATATTATCTGTATTTTGAATTGCCAGTGCATGAATCTATTGAGAGTGAGGAGCTGACGTCATAGCACAGAGCCCCTCCCCGTCTCCGCCATGTTGGTAGGATCCCAGCGGCAAACACTTGTTGTTGTTAACTCGGTAGCAAAGGAGGTCGTCGCTATTTCTGTTTTACCATGCCTGGAGCTCATTGCTGTGTGAAAAACTGCTCCAGTACCTCACACAATAAGAAAGGAAAACGTAGGAACAACGGTTTACAATTTTTTAGGCTACCAAAATGGATACAACATCAGGGAGCGCAAGTGTCTGACCTGACGAAGAGACGCCGGATGGCTTGGTTGGCTGCAATAAGAAGAAAGGACCTTACTTTCGATCTCACCCCCAGTCGATGAGAGTGTGTTCTCTGCATTTTCACTCGGGTACGTCCTAAAATGTCTTTATGTTGTTTTTTTAAAGTTAAGAAGTGTAGGTTACCTAGCTGTTAATGTTGCAAACACTGAAGTGCATCTTAAGTTAGCTGCCTAGCTAACTATCTAACAAACTGTTGCCTCTATGAAAATGCTTAATGGCCAACCATTAATGTTAACTAAGAATATTTAAGTTTCTGCTCATTATCCTACCTTGTTGGTGGAATATGGGCACTCAAAGTGCGTTTGTCTCTGTCTCTTATGTTCTCTAAACCAGTGGTGCCCAAACTTTTTTTTTGTCTTGTGTTTCCACTACCCCCTGAGCCCTTTTATGAAACAATGAATAGTGTTACCTTCTTGTTTAATATTTCTTTAGATTCCAGATTGTTTAATAATCTTATTAATCTGATGTAAGTAAACCATTATATGAGATTATGAGATTGCTAAAAATAGTTGAGATTCTGTTCATGACATTATGCTACCTTGTTGCCAGTTTAAAGCATTGACTACATACATTATTCTGTTCTAGGTAAACCATCATATGAGATGTTGGAGAATCACCCTGACTGGACACCATCCTTGCGGTTAGGCCACAATAATGTTAAAGAAACAGATGGAGCGCGATATCAGCGGCAAGTAAAGCGCAGTACCCAGCATCTGGAGCAGTCATCACTCCCAGCCCAAGCCCAGCAGCCTCCATCGCCAGCCCAAGCCCAGCAGCCTCCATCGCCAGCCCAAGCCCAGCAGCCTCCATCGCCAGCCCAAGCCCAGCAGCCCCCATCGCCGGCCCAGCAGCTGCCTCAAGGAAGGATGAGGAAGCTCTCACCCTTCCAGCTTGTCCTATTGACTGTAATGCGCCTCAGATTAGACCTTCCATCTCAGAATTCACGTTGAGAGGGTGATTGGTGTTGTGCGCAACAAATTCAAATTCTTACATTCAACTGTACCTGTGCATATGCTTCTCAAATGTGAGGGTGAAAACCTAATGCCTTTAGATAAGATTGTCACTGTTTGCTGTGCCTTAACGAACATGTGCAAAAGTGTTGTTTGAGTGCCTTGTTCATAACTTATGAACCAACCAGAACCCCTCATGTCATCTGGATCCGAGTCCAGAGTCAGAACCAGACACGGAGAAGCTGCATTCAGCTTCTATGCTCCACATGTCTGGAACAAACTCCCAGAAAGCCTCAGATCAGCTGAAACACTCAGTTTGTTTACATCCAGGTTAAAGACCCACCTGTTCTCAGCTGCTTTTGAATATTTTTTATTCTAATGTACAAATCTGCACGGCTTCTTTTAATCTGGAATTACTTATCTGTTATCTTTTTCCTATGATTTTTTGTTTTTAAGTTAAAGTTTAAAATATGATATTGTTTTTCATATTTCAAACTATTTTTAACACATTAGAATTCTTAGGTTAGACTGTCCAACAAACTATGTGTTAAAAAAGGTTAAGATTCTTGAGTTTTAAAATAATAATTCAATTCTAAAATGTAAAGTTACTGTATATTTCACAATGGTTTATAAACTGCAAAAAGACAACAGTATTTAGTAAACTAAGTTTAAAAACAGGGAGATCAGCTTTAATATTTGGGACACTCCCATCATTTAGACACCTGTGATGTCATCAGTTGGAGTTGAGTTCAGGTGTGGGACCATGTGGGACCATAGGGACCATAGGAGCACACAGATGTTACCTGCTGCAGAAAGAGAGTTTAATGAGGCAGTATCACGGAGCGGCATATACGGTGTTTTTGAAATCTTTGCTCTGGGGTACTACTTTCAAAAAATGTTCGTTTACAACACCCCCAAACGACCGCCTCGTATGGGACCATACACTGGATTGATAAAGTATTTTTGCGTTTATGCTGAGCTTGACTTCGTGTGCCCCCCGACTGCGGCCAATGACATAAAATCTCCCCCGCCGCCCCATATTAATTTTTGATTAAAGTCTTCTCAGGTTTCAATGTCTGAGACTTTACTTCTCTCACTGTGCTGTTTGAATTGAGCCACTACAGTTGTTTATTTTTGTTATTGTTAGCTGCAAATATTAAATAATCCATTCATTGTGGCTAGCAAGCTAAACTAGCGCTTGCAACTCTATTCAATTACTTACTTTTTCTTATAAACTTTTAAAACCTGCCATATGTTTAATTAAAATACATTTACCTTTGCTAATGCAGTCTATTATTGTGGAAATCCATAGGCAGTATAATTTTCTTGCATTGTTGCTAAACTAATGTTCTGTTGCTTTGTATTCATATGTGTCATGTGGGTTTTGAGTCTTACAGGTGTCAGGACTGTGTTGAAGTGTCAGACTGTGTTGAAGGTGGTAAGACTGTGTTGGAAGGTCAGACTGTGTGGAAGGTGTCTAGACTTGTGTTGAAGGTGTCAGACTGTGTTGAAGGTTTGTTCAGGACTGTGTTGAAGGTGTCAGACTTGTTGAAGGTGTCAGACTGTGTGAAGGTGTCAGACTGTGTTGAAGGTGTCAGGGGACTGTGTTGAAGGTGCCAGACTGTGTTGAATGTGTCAGGACTGTGTTGAGGTGTCAGACTGTGTTGAGGTGTCGCTGTGTTGAAAGGTGTCAGACTGTGTTGAAGGTGCAGACTGTGTTGAAGGTGTAGACTGTGTTGAAGGTGTCAGACTGTGAGGTGTCAGGACTGTGTTGAGGGTCAGACTGTGTTGAAGGAGTCAGACTGTGAGGTGTCAGACTGTGTGAAGGTGTCAGACTGTGTTGAGGTTGTCAGACTGTGTTGAAGGTGTCAGACTGTGTTGAAGGTGTCAGACTGTGTTGAAGGTGTCAGACTGTGAGGTGTCAGACAGTGTTGACAGGTGTCAGACTGTGTTGATGGAGTAGATTGTGAGTGTGGTCAGACTGTGTTGTAAGGTGTCTGACTGTGTGAAGGTGTTCAAAGGTAAGATCTACACATTGATTGTTCTTCTGTATTTTTGTGTTTTTAGAATAAACCATTATTTGGTGTATTCTCTTTGAAAACATCTATCTTTCTCTCAGATTGTTCAGCAACTCACTCAAGATGAAGGAAAAGAGCAACAAGGGAAAATGCCTCGGAATGCCAACATTTTAGAGTAATACCAGGTAAGTAGCTTTCAGGGTCATTTGTCCATGTGCAAAACAAATGCACATTTGCATTGTTTTTAATGGATTTACTCAATGACCAAAGCCATATCCCAAGTTTCTCTGACGGAGTGGTCTTCAGTGTCTCGAGCTGATTTTTTTTATTTTTTTTATTTTTTTATTTAAGCAGTGCCAGGTTTGTACCACATGGTGATGGATCGATTGGTTTGGAGGTCATTAATAGAAAAGTTTATGTGTTGTTATTTCTCTTTGCCCACATAAGTTGAAACTAAAATGTTCCACATTTTCAGGTGCGTGCTTGGACCTTGTGATGAGAGACTGAAGACCAAGTGAGGTCACATGTTGAACTCAAATTCCTTAAATGCATTCTTCTGCCTTTCAGATGTGTTTTTACATATGGGGAACCTAGAGGTAGATTGTGCCTGTTTTAATACTGTTCCAAATCACAGGCGCTTACATCATTTTTTTTTTATTTTGGCGCTGAACTGTTCTGATACGTAGTGTTCATAATCACTGTGCCTGTGTGGCTTAACCTTGTACTTGGATGTAGAGAACATGATTTTTATTGCAGCTCCATTTGCTAGATAATTACTGATATACTTACTACTACCATAAATTGTTCTAATGATTTTTGAATGCTGTGTTTATGTTTATTGGACCAGAGGTCAGAACTAAATGATAAAGCTGCCATTTCATGATTCACTAAGGCTAAATCTGGAAATGTCTTCCTCCCCCCTTTTTTTTTCTTTTTTTTTTTTCCCCTTCCTCCCCCCATTGGAAATGTGAGGACAGGATTATTCTTTGACAACTGTTAAATATCACGGTGTAAAAACTTCTGTTTCTGCTTCACTCTGAGAGATTTTATGAGAGATTTTATTTGTATCTTTTTATTAACTGTCATATTTATAATTGTAATGCCTTGTTTGATTGTTTCTATCTTTTGTTCAGAGCTTTGGAGTTATCCTTTTGTTCATTGACTGTGCTTATACAATTAACCTTGCCTTGCTATTGCAAAAAAGTTTGTCTCGACCAGTGAGTGATTCTGCAGTGGTTAAAGTAGGTCAATAGGACTGTAAATGGACGTCATATAAACGTTACAATTAGTTTTCGGTCATATTAGTACGTAGTTGGACGTTCTGACCCGACCGGTTCTGTACCACAGTCAACATGAATTGGACGTGCATCAACGTAACATTTTGGAGGTTGAGTGGTGTCGTCGGGAAACGACGTCGAGAAAAGTTCATTCTGCACCCACCAGTGACTAATATTCTACGTCGGTCCAACGACGTTGAAATGATGTTGATTCAACGTCGGCTTGCTTAGTGGGAGTGTTCCTATTGTTTTGGAATGGTCCTTGTAGACTAAGAGCCACCCGTCTGATATTTCTTTTAAACATGGCTAATGACAGAGACTGCTTGATGTCCTCGTCGAGCTCATGCCAGATACGAGGGCCCTTGCAGCAGATACTAAAGTTGGTAGATTTTAGTCTTCTGTTTTTCCCTTTCAGTTTGTATTTCTCTCTTGTGTCGTGTTGGTGTGAGGCTGTGGTCAGAGGGATGAGCTCACAGAGTCTGGGATTTAATTTGTGGACAACACTAAATATTAGACAAGCGTTTTGATACAAGTTAATTTCAGCAAGTTTTAAGAGGCCATATCTGTGGAAGAGAGGGTCTGAAGGAGCATAAAATGTGGACCATGTAATAGCTCGTATAGCTTTCTTTTGTAATATCTGGAGTTTTGCAGTGTAAGTAGGATAGGTGTTGTTCCAGATCACATTACAATAATTTAAATGTGGTTCGAATGATTACAAATTATTTGTTGTTTGTGCAGCTTAGTCAAGAGTCCCTAATTGATGAAGTCGACTCAGATTCTGACGATTTAACTGTCAAGAAGAAACCTGTAAAAAAGTATGGAAAAAGAAAAATCAAAAACACTTTTCTTCAAGACTCGGAAAGTGACGAACCAAAGGCAAATAAGATTGTTATCATGCAGCTGCAAAAGAAGAAAAATGGGGGGCGAGTTTATAGCAAGAGACACTTCTGCCTCTACTGTTCAATGTCCTGCCACAAAATGTCCCGTCATTTGACTAGAAAACATGGAAATGAAAGTGACGTAGCCAGAGCATTGGCTCTACCTGTGAAATCTAAAGCACGTAAACTTCAGTTTGATTTGATCAGGAATAGTGGAAACCGTGAGCACAATTTTGAGGTTTTAAAGGCCGGCATTGGAACTTTAGTCCCAGCTAAACAGCCAAATTGCCCAGTTAAATCCAGTGAGTTTTTGCACTGTATAGACTGTGGGGCATTGCTTAAGCGAAAGTCGCTGTGGAGGCATGTGGCCAGGTGCCGGCTTTCACAGAAAGATGCCCAGGCTAAACCAGGTAGAAGTAGGGTCCAGTCCCTCTGCTCCCTAGCCCAGCCTGTACCGGAGGGCATCAGCAAAAAGCTGTGGTCTTTAATTTCGGCAATGCATCAGGATGAGGTCACGGGTGTTGTCAAAGCAGAAAAGGGGATTCTGAGACTCGGAGAGCACCTGTACTTAAAACACGGGCATGATAAGACTAAGCATGATTACATTAGGCAGAAAATGAGAGAAGTCGGTAGGTTAATTAACGAAGCAAAAACTGCAGGGAAACTGAAAACAATTAAGGATTTCTTTATTCCTTCCAACTTTAACCATGTGATTGATGCAGTCAGGTCTGTGGCTGGATATGATGAGGAAACAAATCAATACAAGACTCCATCCTTGGCCCTCAAACTCGGCCATAGCCTCAGAAAGCTAGCAGATATTCTTGAATGTGACTCAAAAATGGAGCATTGTGTTGATGAACTATTTATTAAAAACCTCCAACGAAGCCGGCTGCTTTTTGAGAAGAGGTGGGACGTCTGTGTTTCTTCTGCTGCCCTACAGACCCTCCGGCAAGCCAAGTGGAACACTCCGGACCTGCTCCCTCTGACTGAGGACGTTAGAGCCATGCATGCACATATTGAGGTATGTCGACCTGAATATGTGCAAACCCTAATAAGTGAGCCAACGTCTAAGCATTGGTCTAAACTGGCAGTTTTGACTCTTTGTGAGGTCATTATTTTCAATCGAAGAAGGGAAGGTGAGGTTTCAAAGATGCCACTGACAGCCTTTACCTTAAGAAGTAAGACTGGGATCCATTCTGACATTGCTCTGGGACTGTCCCAACTTGAGAAAAAGCTGTGTCAGCATTTTCAACGCATTGAAATTAAAGGGAAAAGAAGTCGGAAAGTGCCGGTTCTTTTGACTCCTGAAATGATTGCTTCGATGGAGGTGCTGGTGGAGAACAGAAGGGCCTGTTCCATCTCTGACCATAACCCATACTTCTTTTCCCGCCCGGGCGCAGACACCCACATCAGGGGATCAGACTCCCTACGCCAGGTAGCCAAAGAATGTGGTGCGGTGCATCCAGAGATGCTATCCTCAACCAAACTTAGAAAGCACATAGCTACTATGTCTACAGTTCTCAATATGAAAGAGAATGAGATGGACATACTTGCCAACTTCCTCGGCCATGACATTCGCATCCACAGGCAATATTACAGACTACCAGAGGGGACACTGGAGCTGGCCAAAATCAGCAAAGTGTTGATGGCCATAGAGCAGAGAAGAGTGACGTAATTCGAAGGAAAGAGCCTCGACCAGATACAAATTGAGCCTGAAGGTAATTCTTGATATTATTAAAATATGTATGATTTTTTTCCCCTAAAGGCCACTTGTATTTTTATTTTCTGTGCGACAGGGAGAGCAGTAGAGATCCTCTCACAAACGGACGGGCTAAAAGAAACTTCAAGCGGAGAACCTTCAACCATTCATCCAGATGCACCCCATGGTAGTGGCAGTGCCCCTTCTGGTAAGTGTACCAGGTGGGGGATTACAGCCAGGCTGCTTGGTCCTAACCCTGGGAGTGTATATTGCTAATATATTTTTATTTCTCTCCCTAGAACGTGTAAGAAAGCCATGGTCTGCATCTGAGGTGAAGGCTGTGGAGAAGACCATGACACCTTTCATACAGACTGGAAAGGTCCCTGGGAAGTCTCACTGCCTGGCCTGCATTAATGCCTCACCAGATGACCTTAGACATCGGACATGGAGTGGCATTAAATTCTATGTCAAAAATAGAATCACTGCAATTCGAAAAAAAAATCTAAAATAAAATTCCTTTAAAATAGTTGTTTGGTTTCTATTGACTGTTTTGTATTACTTAAAGTAGTCCCAGTAAAAAAAGATTATGTCTATGGGTCCCATTCTGAACGGCCCTGTCAAAGGGACCCACCAGGTAACAAAAACGTGTATGTGTGTGTATGCATGTGTGTGTGTGTGCATGTGTATATGTGTGTGCGTGTGTGTGTGCATGTGTGTTTGTGTGTGTGTGTATGCGTGTGTGTGTGAGCATGTGTGTATACTGTATGTGTGTGTGTGTGCATGTGTGTGTGTGTGTGTATGCATGTGTGTGTGTGCATGTGTACAGTATATGTGTGTGCGTGTGTGTGCATGTGTGTTTGTGTGTGTGTTTATGCATGTGTGTGTGTGTGCATGTGTATAAGTGTGTGTGCATGTGTGTATACTGTATGTGTGTGTGTGTCATTGACTGTTGTGCGATCCCTTTCCAAACCATGCGCAGGTTTTTCTTGTTTTCTCTAATTATCATAATTTTCCTGTGGAAAATTGTGTGCATCTCGTGCATGTTTGAAATAAATAAAATAATAAATGATAAAAATAAAATGGTGAGATTATAAAAAAAAGGCTTAAACCCTAGTCCCTCTGTGTGTGTGTGTGTGTGTGTGTCAGGGTAGCTACAGGCACCAGTAGCTCTCCAGCCCCTTTCAGGTGGCTCCCCAAAGCATATAGAATTCAATATATCATTCAATATCTATTATAAATATAAAAAGACCTTTGAGAACCAGGAGGGACTGGAGCCATGTTCATCGACTTCAATCTGTGCTTCTGGAAAAGTCTTTGGTTTAACTCTTTTACAGAAAACAGTTCAAAAATGGCCTTAGTAAATACAGGAGTTCCACAGGGCTCGACTCTGGAGCCACTACTTTTGTTTTTAGATCTACACAACTACAATACAATACAATACAATTTATTCTTGTATAGCCCTAAATCACAACAGAAGTCATCTCAGAGACTTAACAAAACCATTGAAATCACCAACACAGGTCAGAGAATCAACAGTTAAAACAAATAAAGAATATAGAACACATGTTGATAAATGTCCATACATGTTGTAGAATGTTAGAGTGTCCTGGATCATCACCGCAGTCCTTCTAGTTGGACACTAACTGTCCAACAGACCCTCCTAGGACTGACCTAAAATAAAAAGTGTAAAATCCACTTGTTTTATACAAAAGTCAGATTCAAGACTTCAGACGGATCTTTACCTGGTCCAGCTCAGCACAACTTCATTATGAACAATAAAAACACATTCATTATGAACAATAAAACCACGTTCATTATGAATAATAAAAACACGTTCATTATGAACAATAAAAACACATTCATTATCAACAAAATAAAAGCAAGTTCATTATGAACAATAAAAACAAGTTCATTATGAACAATAAAAACAAGTTCATTATGAACAATAAAAACACATTCATTATGAACAATAAAAACAAGTTCATTGTGAACAATAAAAACACATTCATTATGAACAATAAAAACACATTCATTATGAACAATAAAAACACATTCATTATGAACAATAAAAACACATTCATTATGAACAATAAAAACAAGTTCATTATGAACAATAAAAACACGTTCATTATGAACAATAAAAACACATTCATTATGAACAATAAAAACACATTCATTATGGACAATAAAAACACATTCATTATGAACAATAAAAACACATTCATTATGAACAATAAAAACACATTCATTATGAACAATAAAAACACGTTCATTATGAACAATAAAACACATGCATTATGAACAATAAAAACACATTCATTATGAACAATAAAAACACATTCATTATGAACAATGAAAACACGTTCATTATGAACAATAAAAACACATTAATCATGAACAATAAAAACACATTAATCATGAACAATAAAAACACATGCATTATGAACAATAAAAACACATTAATCATTAACAATAAAAACACATTCATTATGAACAATAAAAACTTCTCTTTTCAAACACCTGTGTCCAAATAAACAACATTTATCCCTATATTTGTCTGATGGAAATAAACTCGAAAGAACCTCCTCCCACCTCCTCCTTCTCTTGCCTCCTCCCGCCTTCTCCCACATCTTCTCGTCTCCTCCCTCCTGCTTCTCTTACCTCCTCCCGCCTCCTCCCACCTCCTCCTTCCTCCTCCCACCTCCTCCTCCCACTTCCTCCCCCTTCCCCCACCTCCTCCCTCCTCCTCCTGCCTCCTCCCACCTACTCTCACCTCCTCCTGCTTCCTCCTGCCTCCTCCCATCTGCTCCTCTTACCTCCTCCCTCCTCCTCCTGCCTCCTCCCATCTGCTCCTCTCACCTCCTCCCTCCTCCCACCTGCTCCTCTCACTTCCTCCCACCTCCAGGAGGAGGAACCAGGAGGAGTGATGAGGCCAGGAGTAGAATTTAGAATCTTAGTAACATTGATTTAATTGTACATAATATATCTTTATTTTCACTGTTTTCCTTCCTGTTTGCACATTTCCTGATTATTCATTACAAGATCAGTAAAGTTTATTTTATTTTTGCAGATTTTAAGACAATATCAGATCTTTTAAAATAAACAGAATAAAGCTTTTCTGACTCAAAAAACTAAATGTTTGTATATAATTGTGACTTACACCTAACATCTTTCAAATCCAACACATGCAATATTTACATTTTCAAATACACAGAAAATAATGATAAATCCACATTTGAAAAATATGATATTATTAATATATTGTGTTTTGTTTCGCAGTGGATTGAAGTGAAATGCAGCTCGCGGAAATTCAATTTAGAAGACGTCAGCCAAAAGCTACCCCCTCCAGGCCAGCTCGCATCCCCAGCCTATCGCACAGCAAACGCCCCCTTCCAATCATCCGTGCCGGCCAGGCAGCCGCTTAAAAGCGGAGAAACTCCCACTTCACGGCCTTCTCGAAGCCTCGCAAGCCCTCGAAGCCTTGCAAAGAATCGTTCTGGAGGAATCACCTTCGTCTACTCACGCTACTCGTGCGTGTCCCTGGTGTCCTCCGTCTGCTGCGTTGTGGTCTGCTCCTCCTCCGCGTCCCTGCACCTGCTGTGGTTCGCGTGTCTCCACTGCTCTCCTCCTCCGCGGGTTCTGTGCTGCTCGTTCCTCGTGGTCTGCTGCCGCGCGCAGACGGTCTGGCGGTGCCGTGCGTGTCCCTGCCTCCGTCGGCGGTGCCGCGTTGTCCCGTTGCTTTTCCCAAGTCTCCTGGCATGTGTGTGTGTTGACCGCGGACGGATTAATCCCAGGTCACTATTGTTAAATGATTGTATTAAATTCGTCTATCTGCGGGAGGAAGAAGGGGCCATGCATTTAAATACCTAATTGAATACCAGTGACCTAGCTAACTAAACTGCAGTTGTTGCATTTGAAAGTGCAGCAGAAAGAAAAAGGGCCCAATGTGAATCTGCAATGGGCGTGAAGTGGTGTTGGAGCTAATGAACGCGTGGAACAGTGATCGTTCATGCGTATCTGCCATAACCAAAGCAGAAGATGGCTCCAGGGGACGTCTGTATTCGCATGGGAATGTTTCGGATTCGGGTTGATTTATTTCCTCAGGCTGTTAAACAACCGTGGGCATGGTTCTCTGACCGCCGCCGCTGCCGGTCCCTGCTGCCGTTCCTACTGATGCCTGATCCCGCTGCTGCTGTTCCTGCTGCCGCTCCTGCTGCTGCCCGTTCCTGCTGCTGCTCCTGCTGCTGTCTGTCCCCGTTGCCTGCTCCTGCTGCTCCTACTACTACATGTGCCGCTGCCGCTGTTCCTGCAGCTGCCGCTCCGCAGGCTCCCAGGCTGCACCCGTCTCTACGGCTCGGCTCTTTCAGACACGTATGTAACCTGGCTCACGGAGACAAGCGGCGCACACTGGCGTGACACGTCTGTTGTTCGTATGAATCTCATTGTGGTGCTGCTGCTCCTGCTAATGCTGCTCTGCTGCTTCATACTGCTACCGCTACTGCTGCTACTGCTGCCGCTGCTGCTTCATACTGCTACTGCTGCCGTGCTGCTGCTGCTTCATGTACTTCGACATCTCTCTTCACTTCGCATCTCTTTTACTGAAACACTAAACAGCTACAACAATATTCTACTGCTGTGGCTTTGATACAGGATCATTGCTGTTATTATCTACAGATGCTGCAGCTGCTGCTGCTTCTTACTGCTACTGCTGCTGCTGCTGCTGCTTCATACTGCTACTGCTGCTACTGCTGCTGCTTCATACTGCTACTGCTGCTACTACTGCTGCTGCTGCTTCATTTACTTTGCCATCTCTCTTCACTTGCATCTCTTTTTCTGAAACACTGAACAGCTACAACAACATTCTACTGCTGCGGCTTTGATACAGGATTATTACTGTTATTTTCTAAGGATGCTGCTACTGCTGCTGCTGCTGCTGCTGCGGCTTGATACAGGATTATTGCTGCTATTACCTGAGGTTACTGCTGCTGCCGCTACTGCTACTGCTACTGCTGCAACCCACTCTCTCAGAAGCTTATCCTGCTTCTAATGGACGCAGCCCGGCTGAGTATGCCGCGCTGCGCTGGACTCGCACCTATGCTCCCAGGGTCGCTTCGGCGGTCATGCTTCATCTCTCTACTAATCTTCTGATCTATCAGATGCAGCTGGCCAAGTAGCTGCGCTGAGCTGTCAATCGGACTCCTAATCAAAGGCATCCATACCTGTATTCTTCACTCTTCTGATCGCAGGCTCCCCATCACGCTGCCCATCCTGCAGCGGCTCTGAGCGGCACCGAACTCCGGCTCATCTTCCAAGTACATGTCTGCCCTCCTCGCAGCATCTTCCTGCTCGCCTTCTATGGCTTCTCTGCATAAGCGTTTCACTACTGCTCACTCAACCTTCATGCGGTCCGAGACGCGGCTTTCCCGACCATCCTACTATCCTGATTATCTACTCTCCAACCCAAGATTCTAAGCGTAGGGGCGCCTGCAACGTCAATGGCCCTCTTCGATATGTCTCTGCCCCTACAGGTCTCCGCTTCTACACGGACGTGCCCCTTCCGTGGGTTTTGGGGGATTCTTCCAGGACCATTGGGTTGCCGGGCCGTGGCCGCTACCTTCCACCGGAGCATCTCCTCTGCCCTACACGAGACATTCCCAGTGGTCGTGGCCTGCGCGCCGTGGAATCACACGTGGCAGAGAAAGAGGATCTCTGTCATGCGTGATAATCTCGACGTAGTGGAAGCATTAAACAAAGGTCGCTCTTCTCACCCAACATAATGTCCCCTGACCATTTCAACCTCCGTCTCAAACATTCAAAAATCAAAGGAGCCTGCAATATAGTAACAGCTCGCTCCGACACATCTCTCTGCCCCTACAGGTCCATGATGCGTTACACTCGCCTCCGCGGCAAAAAGGAGATTTTAACGGACCTCTAATTCTCACTCCAGACAACCTTCCCACGACAGCAACCTGGTTCAGAGCTCAGCTAAGATCCCTACTGCTCCTCTGCAATTGTCTCCCCAGCTCCATACAGCCCACTCCTTCAGGATAGGCGCTGCCACGCGCGCGACCTCGCTGGGGCTCCCCCACACCTCTCTGCAACAGCTGGGGCGCTGGTCCTCTTCGGCTTTCTCCGCCTACATCAGGCCAGACGCGTCCGCTATCCTGGCTGCACAAACGTCTACTGGCTTCCTCGTAAGCGCCCAGCAAAGCAATACGAAGCAAAGTAAGTGAAGCAATAAGTTCTGGTGGCGGCACGCACTTTTCTCAAACACTCTCCTCTGCCGCAGGGTCTGACGGAACGTGATGCGAGCGCTCACGTTCCCAGCGCGGAAAGATAGCCCTGCTGCAGCGTCTGGTTGATCGTGATGCGAGCGCTCACGTCCCAGCGCTCAAAGATAACTCTGCTGCAGCGTCCGGTTGATCGTGATGCGAGCGCTCACGTCCCGGCGCTCAAAGATAACCCTGCTACAGCGTCTGGTTGATCGTGATGCGAGCGCTCACGTCCCGGCGCTCAATAACCGCATATAACGGTCACAGCATATAGCGATAGCGGTCACAGCATATAGTGATAGCGGTCATAGCATCAGTGATAGCGGTCATAGCATCAGTGATAGCGGTCATAGCATCAGTGATAGCGGTCATAGCATCAGTGATAGCGGTCATAGCATTAGCAATAGCAGTCACAGCATAGCAAAAAATGGTTAGCGCATAAACGGTCACAGCATAGTGATAGCGGTCACAGCATAGCAAAAAATGGTTAGCGCATAAACGGTCACAGCATAGTGATAGCGGTCACAGCATAGCGATAGCGGTCACGACGTCTGTCCCCTGCAAAACAGGCTGCAAAACTCCATCAACACACAGCCTTTTGGGGATTGTGCGCGCACTATCGCAGGAGCCTCTCCGACTGAAGGCCGCACCGGGGCCTAGGGCGCCAAACCACCTCTCATTAAAATACTCAAAAGCATTATCGCTTTCTCGTCTCTCCAAATTGAAATGCAGCTCGCGGAAATTCAATTTAGAAGACGTTAGCCCCTTCCAATCATCCGTGCCGGCCAGGCAGCCGCTTAAAAGCGGAGAAACTCCCACTTCACGGCCTTCTCGAAGCCTCGCAACCACCGCCTCCCCTCCTCCTCCTCTTCACCCTGCCTCCAATCTGCCTCCAATCTGCTTCCTGCTGCCAAAATGCCGCCACCAGTGCCTAGGTCCCGGGGGATTGTGCGCGCTCTATCGCAGGAGCCTCTCCGACTGAAGGCCGCACCGGGGCCTAGGGCGCCAAACCACCTCTCATTAAAATACTCAAAAGCATTCTCGCTTTCTCGTCTCTCCAAATTGAAATAAATATTGTACATTTTTTTAAGGGGCTGAAGCAAGAAGAACCGGAACAAGTTCTTTGTCTCTAACATTTCTAACATTTCTGAAATCGCTAAAGTTGTTTGTTGTTTTTAATTTGGTAAAGGAGGAATCACTCATTATCAGTTGGTCTGAGTTGATTACAGTTTTTGTGTCCAATATGAGCTCTTGACAGGCTCTTTATATTACATTATATTCATTAACTTTGAGAAACATAAGGTTTTAAGTCTCAGTTTGGACCTGGTGCTTCACTGGTCCCTCACATCATGATGGTCCACCCCCCTTCCCCCTCTCCCCTCCTCCCCTCCCTCCCCCTCCTCCCCCCCCAGAGGTCTGTGAGGCGGATGGAGGTGTAGAATCGTCCCGTATGAACGTGGAGGTGAATCTGGAGTCACACTTTTCTCAGCGAGCGCCGGAGCAGCAGCAGCAGCGAGCCGTGACGCCGGAGACACCATCAAAGAGCTCTCTCTCTTTAGCTCCAGGTCCCAGTGTGTGCTCTCTCTCTTTAGCTCCAGGTCTCAATGTGTGTTCTCTCTCTTTAGCTCCAGGTCTCAATGTGTGTTCTCTCTCTT